TGGAGTTTTCATGGAGGCATCATGTTTGCTGAAGTTTGTTTGTATTCACTCAACTGCATCCACCTGGGTGCCTGTCACAATCCTCAGTGGAAAGTAAAACATATAAAAAGAAAATGTTGGGAATATTTTAACATACAATAATTATATCTGAATATTAACTGATTAATAATTTGCCTATTTTAATTAATGTATTATTAAAAAAAATGAATTGCAGTGCGTGTAATGATGTTTTTTACCTTTTGGTTTAAAATGTTATTTTTATTTAGTTTCATGTCACAAAACATAACAGCTTCACTGCCCTACCCACAAACACAGGTTAACTCTCAGTAATCCTCTGCATTATTGTTTTGCCCGACTGCTGCAGGCGCTTCGTATGTTTCAAAGAAAGATTATGTCATGAAGATTTTGCCTCAGAGTAGTTTGCTTTCTATTCTTGGTGTAAATCAAGTCACACCTCAGCAGTCTGAATCACCAGGTCTTGTCAGTCTAACACCTACTATACTAGAATATCGTGCAGTCCATCAGGGAACCATTTGAAATTGCTTTTGGTGCCCTTTCTACATTTTTAAAAGTTATTTTATGTTATTTTAGTTTCAACTCAAAAAGAAAAGTGAAGCCGTATACCATATGCTCGTCACAGTGAATGGCACATGCCAACACATTAATATCCTCACATGCAGACCGAATCTATAATAATAGCTTGTTCTGACAACCAATGCCTGCACTTCCCCTGCGGTTGCCCTTACATTTCCTCCATAAACACAATTGATTTAATACATTTTCTTTCAAGTATCACAGAGTTTCCTCTCAGGTGAGCATCATGTAAAATAATAGTGGATGGAGCTCAGGAGATTTCAGCCCCCTGATCTAATCCCATAAGCCAAGTGTATGGCCAGAAATGAGGTCAGGTGGAATCTCTTCCTCTACAAAAACCAATTTACTGTGTACGAATGGAGAGAATGCTCCAAGACTCATTGAGTTCCAACAAATCGAGTTTGTGAGACTTAGCAGGTCCCTCACCTTACTCAAAAAGACAGTCAAGCAGACACGGTCAAGTGCTGTGGTCGTGTATCTAATGAGCCTGAATGGATGTAGGCTGTAGGCTGACTGTGTGTGAACTGACAAGGCCGAAACAAATTAAAGAGCTCTCCATGTAAAGAGAGTGAAGGGAAATAGACTGCCAGAGAAAATAGACTTCTCTCATGCATTCCAATGATGGCACCTCAGCGGTCAAATTATCACACTAGATGCAGGCTGCTCCACGAGCACGGCAGGGTCGATGGGGTCTGAAGGTGGTCTCCTTCACTCCTCCTGTGCCTCTCAGATACTGCGCTTGGACTCCAAGCCCTTTCTTCTCTCAGAGGAAATGAATCACAGCAAGCTCCATATGGATCTCCTCTCACCAGAGAAATTAACCATCACTGTCAGATGCCATCTGATGAAAGGAGCACAAGGGAAATCTTAAAATTACTGTGTTTTCCCCTCTCCTGTCTGATAAATTATGTGTTTTTTCATCAGCAATGCAATGGATTGTCTTTCAAATACCCTTATTGAGATAATATCCCTACCCATCTGTCACAACTTTATATTGAATCTCCCACTGTGGGTATGGTGAAACATTTCTGACACTGAAATCTTTGCTGCACAATAAAGCGTTTAAAAATGTTAATTAATAAATGAATGGATGAGGATAACTGCCAAAATAACCTGTTATTACAGTAGAGCTCAAAGCCCCACACTACTCCCTAAGCAAAACAATCACACATTTGTTTTCCTATCATGGTGGACATTTTCAATGAGTTTTCTTTTACACTAAGATAATTATATTTTCCATCTCCTGTCCCTATCCAGCAAAAAAAATCATTTGAATTGAATCGGCCACACCCCTATGGGAAGTTGAATATACTTAATTAGATTTGAAAGAAAACAAAAATTGTGTAAACC